CCCCGCCAACAACCACCGCAGCCTAGCGGTGGTCTTCACCACGCGCAGCACGAAGAAGGGCACTGAGACCCAGCAGCGTCTCCAGCAGCACCTGCAGAGCACGACAACACAAAACCCCGAGCATCGGGCCCGCATCACCTTCATCCCGGAAACCGTCGACCTCTCCAACCTGCCATCGACGCGCGCCTGCGCCCGGCGCCTCACGCGCACCCTCCCCAAGCTCGACGCCGTGATCCTCAACGCCGGTATCGGCGGCTGGACGGGCCTCAACTGGCCGCAGGCCGTCTGGGGGGTCCTGACGGACCTCGTCCACACCGTCTCCTGGCCGGGCTACAAGATCGCGCCCGTCGGCCTGCTCACGGCGCCGCAGACCACCACCCAGCGGGACCAGGAACCCCGCCTGGGCAACGTCTTCTGCGCCAACGTCTTCGGCCACTACATGCTCGCGCACAACCTGATGCCTCTACTCCGTCAGAGCTCATCCCCCCCGAGCGCCAGCAGCAGCCGCATCATCTGGGTCTCCAGCATCGAAGCCACCCTCCGGCATTTCTCCATCGACGACCTCCAGGGCCTCCGCACCGCCGCCCCCTACGAATCCTCCAAAGCCCTGACCGACATCCTCGCCCTGACCGCCGATCTACCCTCCACAAGCCCCTGGACCAAGTCGTTCTGCTCCACCACTTCCGCCAACACCTCCTCCACAGTCGCAACAAACAAGTCCCCGACCCTGGAAACCGAGGCCGAGGCCGAAACCAAACCCAACACCTACCTCGCGCACCCGGGCATCTGCGGCACGGCGATCCTCCCGCTCCCGCTCCCGCTCATCTACGCGATGCTGATCTCCTTCTGGCTAGCCCGCCTGCTGGGCTCCCCCTGGCACACGATGTGGACGTACCTGGGGGCGTGCGCGCCCGTGTGGCTGGCGCTGGGCAGCCAGGCCGAGCTGGACGCCGCCGAGGCGCCCTACCGGGCGCACCCGGGCGGCGGCCGCGTGAAGTGGGGATCCTCGAGTGACCGCCGCGGCCGCGACCGGGCCATCTCGACGGAGGTGGACGGCTGGGGCCACGGGGGCGTCGTCGGGCCCGCTGTCGTCGCGGCGGACCGGCTGCGGCGGCGCAAGCGCGGGGCCCGCGACCTCACGGCCGAGGAGCGGGTCGCCTTCGAGGAGCTGGGCCGCCAGTGCTGGCGGCGGATGGAGGAGCTGCGCATGCAGTGGGAGGGGATCCTCGACCGCGAGGAGGAGGAACTCGAGCTCAAGGGCAAGGATGCTGCCGCCGCTGAGCAATGATGAACGCGTTCCACGGGAAGGGAGAGAGATTCATCCTGTAACAAATCATGCTTCAAGTATTGCTGTATTACTACTGATGTACATTCATAATCAAATCATATAATCTACGATAATGGAATCGTTAATGGAATCGGCAAGGGAATCGATAATGGAAATGAAGTCACACCGACTACAGTAGAACTGAGCAAAGGCATTTCGCATTGATATTCTTTTTTCTTTTCTGGATTCTTGCCGCCCCGTATTTACATTCCTTGAAAAAAAAACCCTCCATGTCCACATACGTCATTAAAATCAGATAAGAGTATTAGTCCATATGCTCACCCCTTTCCCTTGAAGAAAACAGACACCGACCCAAGTTGAATGGAAGAAGGCAGAGAGACGACTAAGAACGATGGGCTGAAAAGCAGCTGCATCGTTGAGGGAAAAAAAGAAGAAGTCAAAAATGGAAAAAAAGGCGGGAATCGGACGTCGAGAGAAGTAACCAGATCGGGTCACAGTGCTGGTCAGAGAGACCGCAGAAAAAAAATTGAGATTAGTAGGTTTTACAGAAGAACAGACCCGAGTCAAGACACGCTTCCACCATCAAGGCCTCTAGCATGCGAAAGTCGGTCAATCAAGCACAAGACAAAAAGAGTAAAGCGCAAGAAGGGAGATTGTTCAGGAGGGTCGGGAAAGCAATTGTATCCAGGTGGGAAAAGCCAGTTCGTCGAGCAGAGCTAGCAGTCAGAAAGTTCAATACTGCTCATATGGAAGTAAAAGTGTAAAGCAAGCGACACAAAGTTCTATGCATCTGAGCGTTTTCGGGAGATGGGCGAATTTTATAGAGGTGTATAAAGGGGGCGTGGCGACGTGAAGAGGAGGTTTTACATGATAATCGCAGGAACTAAAGAGAATGTTTGGTTAGTGAACTGAGAACCGGTCCTTATGGATCGTGGTGAAGCTTACCATCAATGTTCTGCTTGATGCTCTTGTGAGGCAGGATCGAGCCACCGTTCACGTAGACTTCATCCGCAATGGTGACATCGTCACCAAGCACGGTGACATTCTCCAAACGAGCCCACCGACCAACGGAGCTGTTCCATCCCACGATGGTCGACTTGACCCAGGCGTGGTCCTTGACCTTGCTGTTCTCCATAAGAACACAACGCTGCAAGCGGACACCGTCACCGATCACGACGTTGGGGCCAATGACTACATTGGGGCCAATGCGGCAGTTCTTGCCGATCTTGGCGGAAGGGTCGACCATGACGTTTCCACCGTACACGTAGGGCTCGCTGTTGGGAGCAAGCAGTTTTGAGTTGCGCTTCGCCAAGGAGGTCAGGTAGAGGCAGGTTCCGCTAAGGAAGTCCTTAGGCTGACCAACGTCCATCCAGAAGCCCTCCAGGTCAAAGGAGTGCAGCTGGCCATCCTTCACAATGGCGGGGAATGTCTCTTGTTCGATAGAGGTGGGGCGGAGCTCGATGCGGTTCAGCACGCTGGGGTTCAGAATGTAGATACCTGCGTTGATACGGTTGCCGACGAACTCGACGGGCTTCTCGACGAACCGATCGATCCGACTGGGGTGGTTGGGCTTGTGAACGACGACACCGTACTTGGACGGCTCGTCAACCTTGGTGACAACAATGGTACCCTCGTTACCATGGCTCTTGTGGAACTCAGCAAGTTCCTTGAAGGGATAATCGCAGATGATGTCGGAGTTCAGGACGAAGAAGGGAGAGTCGTCCTTGCCCAAGATCTTCTCTGCCAGCTTCAGGGGGCCGGCCGTGCCAAGGGGTTCGGATTCGACGGAGAATTCGATTCTGACGTTATATTGTTCCTCGTACTATGTAAGCAGAATTTGTGTAAGAGTGTCGTCCTCTTCAAATCGTGGTGAAGGATGATCATACTTTTTTGAGAGCAGCAACCATGACATCGGGGCGGTAGTTGACAGCCAGGACAATGTCCGTGACACCTGCAGCAGCCAAGCTTTCCACCTGGTGCAAGATCATGGGCCGATTGCCGAATTCCACCAAAGGCTTAGGAAGCGTCAAGGTCTAGGGACAAGCAGGAGATCAGCAAGCGCATCTTCAAGAATTCCGACTGCAGCGGTATGTTGGACGTCACGATCGTCGGCGGGGAGGGAAGAGGGGGAGGGCTACTCACCAAAGGACGCAGGCGGGTACCGAAACCTCCGACCAAAATAAGAGCTATAAAATGTGACTCGTCAGATAAAAAAAAGTCGCTTGATGGCTGTGGATAGATCTATAAGTTTGCACATACCCTTCATGATTGCGGTAGTGTGTAGTTGGTGTTAGAGCGAAAGGGGTAGAGGGGTTGTTCGGAGGGGGACTTGCTCCAAACGAGTGACCGGAGCAGAGGAGTATGGGCGAGGTACAAAAGATTAGATGTGAAACCCAGACGGGGAAAAAGAGAAGGCTAATGGGAGTGTTTCGAGGTTGATTCAAAGTAAGACCCAGCAATCCGAGATGGACGGGGAAGAGTGATAAGATTGAATTAGAACAGAATGGAGAAGAGAATGAATGAATTGGGGGGGCAGGAGGAGGGGGGGGGTGGAAGAAGGTAGAAAAGGAGAGGAAATTGAGTTATAAGAGAAAGCGCAAGAGCGAAAGAAGACAGAGAGAGAAGAGGAGAACACCTGGCTATTGTGACTTGACGACGACTTGACTTGATGGGTGGATTTTGGGGGGGGGGAAGGAGAGGGGGGCTGTAACGGAAGCGTATGTATGGAGATTGTATGGAAGACTAGTAAGAGGGAGGGTCGGAGGGGTCGGAGGGCTGGCTAAAAGACCAGAGAAGGGCCCCCGATGCACCCCCAATGCACCCCCTTAATAGTGTAAAGTGTGGGCAGCCTTATGCTAACTACAACATAGTGTCCACTAATCCAGGCACCGGACGGACCACTGGCTGGCTGGCGTTTCAACCACCACAAAGGACCAAAGGCAGGCCGCACGTTTGCGGCAACGCCACCCCATTTAAAACCAGTTCCGTACCGGCACCGTATGGTTTCAGGTCTAGAGCCAGTTAGAGCTATACTAGTCGCGGCCGGATCAGGTGCTCTCGTGGGGCAATCATTTCATTATTGTTCGTTTCTTTCTTGCCCCTGGATCTTCCCAGCGACTTCATAGATCTCATTACGCGTTGCAATAATTGAAAGGAGCATAAGAAATTCTTTCATGTGCTGAGATTGTATCAGACTCTCATGCAATCACTACACACACACACCCAAAGAGGTCACTTGAAAAGGTCACTAGCATGATCTACTGCACAATTCGTCATAATCCCCAGCCGCTTGTGTTCACCTCACCATCTCGGCATGTGGATGCTGCTCAACCTTCCTCGGGTTGCATTCCCCCATTTGCTCGCCATCGAGAACTTGTTGTAGTAGAGCCGCGCGGAGCTTGTTACTCAAGTGTTGCAGTGAAGCAATTAGTGTATGCAGGAGGCATAATCATCTCGCCCCCCTCCCCAAGAAAATCTCCAACAGACCCTGTAGCAAGTCCTAAGCTTCGCGATCTTCTGATCGTCCATGTATAATCGCTTTTTCTGGTCTCCCCCTGCTTGTGAGGACAGACAATGGATTTCCTGCCCTTGTCCGCCGTCTCCCCGGTTCGTGTTACCAGCCACTATGATCATGTGCATGATCCGGAGGGCATAGTGGAGGAGCAATTCCCAGCTCTCTTATGCCCTTACCTACTAGACTGTGGTTGATGTTCTAAATATACTCTTGCGTATCCGGAGGCAGTGCGTTATGCCTGGTAGCTGTTCCAGCCAGACCACGTGTTAGGGGCCCCTTGTCATCCTCACCGCTTACTGCATCCGGCGCGAATCGTCTGATCCACTCGCGCACCTTGCTGACTTTCTCTACCAGCCGATCCTCTTCCTTCTTGGCTGCAGGACCCTGCTGCTGCTGCTGCCGTTGGAATTCTTGTAGCCTCTTTGTGCTGTAAACACCGCCTGCGTCGTTTGCGTCAACCCGCTGTCGATGCAGAAGGTCAACTCTAGTGACTCCCTTCCGCAGACTTTGCCCGTACACCCGTTCTCGGAAGGAACTCAGTCCTACCGTGCGCATCAGAACAATATCTCGAGGCCGCAGCGTAGCCAACGACCTTCCAAGTTCGTCCTCGATAGGGTTGCGATCACTGGCAGCATGTGCTTGATCCGCAGGAGGAAGCCAGAAGGTTACTCCAAATCCGCTTCGGGTGTCATCGCCCACTACGACCTCGACCAGGTCTAATTCTTTCTTCCATTGCCGTGTCACAATACGGCGTGGAGGGTTGATGGTAATGATTGACACGACTAGATTCACACTCACGGTCTGCGGCACAATCGACGTCAAGTATGCTGCCGTAGGGATAGCTTGGAGGTTGGTAACAGACGTTTGGCAAAAAATCCCTGGGTTCGGCCCTTCTTTGTCGCTCACTGTTGCGATCGAACTCTCAGTACTATCGGCCCAGGTGCCGCTACCTTGAAAGGAGTTATCAGAGCGAACCCCGGTCGCCGAGATCTCGGAAACCTCATGCACGGTGAAGGAGTGCTCGTAGAACCGTGAGAGTACTGAACCCTCTGGTTCATTGGCCGAATTCCCGCCAGGGACCGCGAGGTCGCGGGTTGCTAGGAAGCAGACCCTTTCCTGGGAGCAAGTGTCGAACTTCCCTTGTCGTAACTCAGATGTCCGCAAGTCTTGTAAAAGCCTCCACTTAACAGGGTAAGCATCGGTCAGGCGCCATGGCTCTTCGTCATGGATATTTGGTCCCTTGAAAGGAAAGATGGGCTCTGTGAGCAATTGCTCTTCATCCCACTGAAGGTTTCTCAGAGTGGGTGCACCCATTAAGAAAATGAGTTTCTTCGACATCGCCTTGGCTTATATATACAGAAGCGGCCATGGGGCTTGTCGAAGCAGTACGATTGATCTGCCACGCCCTGAAGAATGATGCTGCTGCAGAGCACGGAGAAATATAACGACTCTGGTATGGTGTGTCAGTACTCGGCCATAGGACATCGGACGCACCGAGATTAAGCGGTTAGTGGTGGGCTATTGATCAATAGCCCTGGTCATAGACCCAGTTATATAGCAAGGTACACGAATGAGGCTCTGGAGATGAACAAGCAGAGGCTGCTGCAGACCTCGCGTCACCGTGTCGAAGCTGAACCACGGATTGCAGACAAGTAGCATCGTTGGTCTTACGGTACTCCAAATACAGTACCGTAACTCCAGCCTCAAGATATCAAGATATCATTGCGAGAAGTGCGGATTGAGTCAGTTGTTGACTGATCGATCAGGCCATTCGAATAGCGTACTAGGTACACATCAGCATAACTTTCCAGCACTCTCACGTTGATGACATCTCCATATTAGAAAGAGACATGATGGACTGAAAACCCCGATCTACTCATTTTCAGAGCGGGCATCACGTGGATGGGGGGTGACAGGACTACGGAACTCCATTCAAGTCGAAGTGGCAACTTCGGCAGAGGACTTTCGCCGCCCACCGAATATCTGACTAGCCCGACATCATCATTCCCGGCCTCCATCTTCGCCCATCGATTCGCTGTCTTGAAGTCATAGGAGATGGCTTTTGTCTTTATTGAACATTGAATAGGCTCTCATATCATTTTTTCTTTCTCTCTTCTCTGTTGAAGGGTAATCTCTGGAATCAGCGGCCAAGTGCCGCCATCCTATAGCCATGGCCTTCCAAGTCCCGATCCCTCTGCCGGTATGAACCATTTGTTCCCTCATTTCAACCTTTTGGCTCCTTTACTGATGATGCCTTCTTGCGATAGAATCTGGCGGCAATGACATCGGATGCTTGGCCGTCCCTGTCCAAATTACTGAATGCGCCCCGGAAACTGATCGAGCACTCCGCCTCCGCCCCTCAGCTGCAACGTACCGGCCACCAAATTAGTTCGATCGTATGTCTTTCTACCTATCCGTTGCGGACGTCTGATGAATTGCGTATTCATGGACAAACTCTCAGGAAAATCGCCAAATTACGCTTCCCGAATGTCTAACTACAGTATCCTCCGAGGCTCTTAGATCGGCTGTTATGTACAAGCCGGCGGTATCTGGATTGCGTCGCTCCCTGTTCGCTGGTAAATCGCCACAGAGTCATATCGCATTCTCAACCACATACTAACTTCACTGTCATTTTCTAGCGACCACTCTTTGGGCTCCGCCATCGACCACTAGCCGCGGTCTTGCCACACCCGCCTCTCGTCTTTTCTCCACGCTGACCGCAAATCCGAACCGCATCCGCCACGCCCCGCACCTACACGGACTCTCACGTCTCCAACAACAGCGGTACCTCTTTGGGGGTCCGTCTCAGGCCTTACTAGCCCAGAGAGAGAAAACCGCGAACAACAACCCCAGTAGCGCGAACGCTCAAAATGCATTCTACCAGGCTCTTCTGCGCGCGAACCATCCTGCCATAATTCTTGAACGGTACAGATCCGGGTACTTTGCTAGTAACGCGGCCACTGAGGCGATCTACCACAAGGCTTTGCAACGGGTCAACGGGATAGATGGCTCAACCTCTTTCTTAGGCGCCAACCAACAGTCCAATCCTGACCTGCTTCATCAACTTAAGCCCGATCAAATACAAGCTATTGGCCAGGCCGTCGGTGCTAAAGGTATTCATGGTAAAGTACACGCGGCACCCGGCCAAACCGGCACTGGAGCTAAAGACGCACCTCTGTACGTTGTGGTCGAGGAGTCAATGGGTAGTGCTATTTTTCGCTGGGTGAGATTCTTTGTCATGATGGCGTTCATCGCATACATATCTTGGGTGATTCTCGCTGTCGTCCTTGAGACTTCGGGTGTTTTGCGAAACGTCAAGGGCCCACAGAACAACGAAGCTCAACCTGAACACCAGACCGTGCGCTTCAGCGACGTTCATGGATGCGACGAGGCCAAGGATGAGTTGCAGGAACTTGTTGAATTCTTGATCAATCCCGAACGATTTTCCTCGCTCGGTGGCAAATTGCCAAAGGGTGTCCTTCTGGTTGGTCCTCCTGGTACTGGTAAGACCCTACTCGCGCGTGCCGTGGCAGGTGAAGCCGGTGTTCCATTCTTCTTCATGTCTGGGTCGGAATTCGACGAAGTCTACGTTGGTGTCGGCGCTAAGCGTGTTCGGGATTTGTTCACTCAAGCCCGCAGCAAGTCCCCTGCCATTATATTCATTGATGAGTTGGACGCTATTGGTGCGAAGAGAAACGAAAGGGATGCCGCCTATGTGAAGCAAACTCTGAACCAGCTGCTTACCGAACTCGATGGGTTCAATCAGAGTAGCGGAGTCATCATCATAGCAGCAACCAATTATCCTCAGCTGCTTGACAAGGCCCTTACGCGGCCTGGTCGCTTCGATCGGAAGGTGGTTGTCGGTCTTCCAGACGTTCGCGGTCGTATGGAAATTCTCAACCACCACATGAAGAGTGTACAAATCGGTACTGATGTCGATGTGGCGGTCATTGCTCGTGGCACCTCTGGGTTCTCTGGTGCTGATCTTGAGAATCTTGTCAACCAGGCCGCTATATATGCCAGCAGGAACAAGAAGACCAAGGTCGGACCCAAGGATTTCGACTATGCCAAGGACAAAATCATAATGGGCGCGGAGGCTCGCAGCCGGGTCATTCAGGATAAGGACAAGCTTCTGACTGCTTACCACGAGGCTGGCCACGCTCTCGTTGCTTACTTCTCGAAATCCTCCATGCCGCTCTATAAGATCACTATCGTGCCCCGCGGAATGGCGTTGGGTATTACACATTTCCTGCCTGAGATGGACATGGTTTCCAAGGATTACACCCAGTATCTGTCGGATATCGATGTCGCCATGGGTGGCAAAGCTGCGGAGGAGCTCATCTTTGGCCCTGATAAGGTCACCAGTGGTATCTCGGCTGTATGTTTGATCTTTGGGCCCTCTCATTTGAGGTAGCCTTTGCTGACAAGTTGCAGGATATTGAAGCAGCCACCAAGACCGCTTTCGCTCTCGTTACTCAATTCGGGTACTCCAAGAAACTTGGAAATGTCGACTTAATGTCCAACTACAGCAGCCTGTCCTCCGAAACGAAACAAGAAATCGAAGCTGAGGTTCGACGCATTGTCGAGGAGGCTCGCGTTCGCGCCACCAACATTCTGACCGAGAAGCACAAGGAGCTTGAACTGCTGACCCAGGCTCTGATCAAGTACGAGACGTTGACTAAGGAAGAGATGGAGAAGGTTCTTCGGGGAGAGAAACTCGACAAGCTGGAAACGGCCCCGGCCGCCCCCATCAAGTTGCCCGAGGTTCTCCGGACCGCCAAGTTGCCCTCGCCGAGCCCCGAGGACATACCCCCAGTAGCAACCAATTCCGCCAATGAATGAAGCGCCAGCCGCTATTCCTGACTTTTTTTTTTGACCTTCGACCTTCGACCTTCGACCTATGTCCTCTCTCCTCTCTCCCCTTTGAACCATATCTTTGTCGAGTCTTGTCGAGGCTTATCAGCAAAGCCCGATAGCCTTGGCACCATCATTTTCACTACATTCCCAAAGTCGATTTACCACGGAACAAGATCGATCGATGTCTCTTCGAACCCTCCGCCATCTTACACAGTTTTCTTTTGCTATGCATCCCGTTCCGACTCTACTTTGTTCTTGTCTTGTATTGTTTCTCAGACTTGGGTATCTGATTTCTGCTACCCCTCCATCCCATGGATGAATCGGTCTTCCCGTTATTAACATGTATGTAGCAAGCTTTTGAGGGGGTGGTTCTCACGAAAGATGATGGTATAGGGGCGTCATCTGCCCCCCGATGGGGTTATCATGGAATGACTTTTAGTTTGCGTGTAACATGTGTACATACATGTATCAAAATTTGCATGAGTACCGGATACGCAAAGCGAGATATGTTTTGTAGACCAGACCACCAGCCAATACACATTTCAATCATTGCCCTGATACATATAATGTTGGGAGTTTAAGAATCTGAGGAAAGGTGAGGATTGGCGCTTTTGCGTTGCTTCGTGTTAGGTCCGGGTGCGGGAGGGAAGTCTTGATTTATGCCTCGTAAACATACGACAAATTCGGCCCGTATGACAATCTGTATATACAACAACCTTAGTCTAAACTGGGTGATCGTGGAGTATGATGCCAAGCCGCAAGCCTCAATATCCTTACTCAACCATAAAATCCTCAGTCAAGCCATCAAATCATGCATTTTCTTTCATCAGTATTATTATCACAAGGAATCTAACTTAGACAACGAATGTAAATCCAGGAATGGGAAAAAAAGGAATGAACGAAGTAAGGAAAAGAGTGGCTAGGAATAAGACTAATAGAGAGCGACAATTCAGAGTGGGATCATTCAGACACAAGGAAAAACATAACCATCATTCTTTTTTTGTTTGAGGGGAACAAAAGAGCGTCTCGTCACGTATAGCCAGAGTGAAAACCTGGGCATAAAGCGTAATGTGTAAATGGATATCATGTGCCAGCCAGATACCTTTGCGACGAATTGAACAAGGCGTGTATCAGCATCAGTACATAGTCAGAAACTTGTCTCGAAAGTGATAGAAGAAAAGAGTAAGAAGCTCTTGGATCTTCCGCAACACCGTAAAAACCCTAAACATCATAGGTAACTCAAGGGGGTATCATGACATTCAATCATCAGGTCGACGCAGATAGAAGAAATGACGGCTCCAAAACAAGAAGAAAGAGAAACAAAATAAGATCGGACTAAACGTGAAGCGCAATATTCCTCAGCCTCGACGGGACTTTCGGTCCATATATCGCGGCCGTCGTGCTGGATCATCCTCGTCGGAACGAACAGAACCCCTGGATTTAGCTTCCAGTGCAAAGCTCACCGTGGGCGCGTTGGCATT